GGATAACGCAGCATGTACCGTATAACGGGCTAACATTGAAACTCTTGACATTCTACTTTCTGTAAATAAAAAAAACACACATCCTTTTCAATTTAACTGACTCTGTCAAGGAGCTGATAAGCTGCTTGCATCACTGCAGGCTCGAGCTGCTGCCTGCAAGTGTCCTCAGTTGCTCTGATAAATGGGTCGATATCCAACCTTGATTATCATACTCTCATTCACTCAGTGTGGGCCACCCCTGATTTAGTTCCTTTCATTCCTAAAGCTGATTCAATTATTGGTACAAATGATAGCAGTAGTTTGACCATGCAGTTTGTCAAAGCAACACACCTGCTTGTGTGACATGAAGATGAAAACGTCATGCACAAACACAAGATGTCTTTACACACTTGAACTTTCCTTAGGAACCTTTGAAGGAACTCATGGCAATTTGACCATGGGGACCAGTTTTCTCAACCCCCCTCCCTATGTCTGGGGGCGTAGTACTTTCTAGAGGTTGGTGAACTTCGGGCTGGGGCTTGAGGCACTGATCTGAATTTTCTGATTGGCCGTGCGCTCGCAATTCACAGGACGGCATCAACCGCCATTTGAAAAAAAGCCTGCATTTGACTGTTAACTGACACAGCTGTCAATCATTTGAGAGTTTGAGCCAGGCTAAAATGTTTTCATGCTATGATGCTTCTCCGGACCCTCAACACCATAGGCAAAGGATAAAAAGGCCCTGTTCCCTAATCCCCCCTGCCTCCACCCGCCTTAAACCCCACACCAACTCTAACCTCTCTCCTATCTTAATCCTCCGATTACTACATCCTTTTCTTTGGGCCTAATTTAGACAGCTATCAGGACTCACTCCCTGGACAGATCTGCTTGGTATGGCAGAGACTTGATCTTATGATCTTATTGGTCCTCATGGGTGGGGAGGATGCAGGTGTGACCCAAATAGAGGGATTACCTACCCACCTGTTGGTAAAGTTTCAAGAAAATGGTCGAGAATGTTTAGGTAAATAATAATGGACGTTCATATCCACATACTGGTAATGTCTAGGATGATGGTCTCAGTAAATGTAAATTGTTTGTGATTATCCGAGGCAGGAAGCGATGTGTTACCCATGGAGGGCTCATTTATAATTTAATCCAGGAGCTTGGTGTTTCTAGGCTAACGCAGAGAGATTGCCCTTTCAGAGTAAAAACCCCCACCATGCAGCAGGGAATCAATGCCGTCACCAGAGAACAGACACAAGACATCGTAGTATTTTCATTTTCTGTTTCATTTTCAAAATAAATAAGGAACAGCCTCTCCATAATCCAACCGTAATATGCCACCGACAGTGATCAAAACCTGTGAAGGCAGGCACATCCTTGCTTTCGTAAAAGACGTGATTGATACAATAGTAAGGAAGATCAGAACTTCAGCAGAACTGACTCAGGGTCTGTTCAAAGCCACACAACATCAACATGAGCAGTCGGGGCAGGAATGAAGAAGTCAAAGCAGGGTAGCAATTACACTTCAAAAAGTACTGAAAAGATTCAATCAAAGACCTATTTGCACAAAGCTAGCTCTGGAACTCTGCCAGACGTGAATTCCACAAGGTGCTGGAAACCACACAGAGACTTCAGTCCATGCTAATGCTAAAACAGGACATATACACACTTAAACAAAGAGATACTAACCGGGAGATACACCTGAACAAGAGTAAATGCAAATCTGGTCCTAATAATGCCTTGCATTTAGGATGGCATAAAGATGATTCTAGCATTTGCAGATATTGCTTTAAGTTATATGTTGGCCACTTGGGGGCAGCAGAAACAAGCTACAATGACAAAGTATCAGTCAATATGACAGACGTGTCATCATATTTGGCTCATTTATACATCTGGTAGATACAAAGCAGCATTAGCTCTCATTAACTCTGTTATGTGTTTCTATTTATTCGTATGCCAATGGCCGTGTTGTAATGAAACTTGGTGGAAGGAAAAACAGGCGGATACATATTACGCATTATTTTTCACTTATTGGAAAAACCACGTCTTTTCGCTCTGTTTTGGTCTACACCATCTCCTGAGGGAAATATATGGTTCTCTAACTGCTAAATTTGACACTGTTTTCTACCTCCTAACTTGTTCTTTCTGATGTTTAGTTCTGAGTAGGTAGACCTTGAATCGCATTTGAATCAGAAGTGTAAAGTTGCCGGCCAGAACATCAAAACATAAGTGGCAATAAATCTCTGTAGTGTTGCGATGAATTGCAAGTTGAGTAATTTGCTTTGATTTATCACTTTGAGCAAAATGTTTCATGTCAAACAAAGTCCATTGTTAATATCTTTTTGGGATTACGCATATTTAATATTAAAAGCAACAGAACCAGTTACTTATCAATTAGAAGATTTTTTTTGAAAATGTAGAAAAACAGTTTTGCCAAGCTCAGTGTCATTATACCTATTAAAAAAAATGACAGAGTCTTTATGGTGTTGCGCCCCCTTCTCAGTTGGTGAAGGTAAATGACTATGTCCATGGTGAAAAGGCACAAGGCAGTAATGAGTAATGAAAACAGCCGAGTTAGTGCTGCCATTCAGTGAAGGGCCTGCTGCTGTGGAATGTGAGGCGCCATTCATTCACATGGGTTAAAAATGCATTTCTGCCACCACAAAGCCCTGCCTTGTCCTCATTGTTTCTCACCACACCAATAAAACACTTCCACATTCTGAAGGGAGACGATAATGAAAATTAAATTGCTAATTTTACCCCTACATGTACAGGACAAAAACATAAGTAGGAGGTATGGGAGGGGAGGGGTGGTGAACTTTGCAAAAAAAAACTAAAAGTCAGGTCTTTGAAGGAGATAAACAGTCGAGTTGAAAGTTTAATCACGATAAGCGCCGGGACGCAAAAGTAAGCACACACAGGCGTACAAAAGACAAACACTCCTATTGACAGAAGCCCAATGTATGGCGCATTTATATGTAAAGAGCAATTACAAAACACTCCACTCGAGTCATGTGTGAGCTCTCGAGGGATCCGTGTGTGAATGTGAGGCATCTGCGCCAGGCTCTGGCAGAAACTGGTAGAAGCTTATTCCAACATGAATCACATTACTGACAATATGTCACATTTAAACACAGGTCATGTTCCTCTTCTGCCTCGGTTAACAGTGCTCAACAAGTGATCTCAGACATGACACTGCTTGGACACTTGTGACATCAGAAGAATACTCCCATAATGTGGCTCTTCCTTCAACAGAAAAACAAGTATGACCTAAAGTCTGCCAGAAATCAATAAAGAAAAGCATGTATTTACATACCAACCTTCAACTGTTCCTGGTTCTATGCATGGGGGGAACAGGTGGCACTCTTAAGGGCAATTTATCCACTTACAGTTAATTTGGGGAAGTTACATTATTTATTGTTGTGTGGTGTGTTCACTAGTATAACCACACAGTTTGGGGTTCAGGGTTGAGAAGAATTGCTTAACATAATGTCTGAAATGTAAAATAGGGGAGACAATGTAATCCTGTCTGCAAAACAACGCTCCGTCTCTTCCTCCCTCCCTCCCTATCCCCCCTCCCTCCCTTCCTCCCTCCCTATCTGTCTTTCTGTATCTGACCTTACACAGAAGAAAATACTGTACACAACCAGAGAGAAAAACAGTACTCCACAGAAAGGCCAAATCAACGGAGGGGGGAAAGCCATCAAGTACAGCAAGCTCACAGTTGTTGCACACACATTTTTTTTTAAAGATAACTATTGGATACTATTGGATACTGGAAGATTATCACCATAACCCATACTTTAAAAATCCCTCAATAACTATGCACAAGTACAGCAGCAGCCATTAGTCAACAGAAAAAGAATCCCCACTTGTTTTGATTATTGATTAATCGTTAAATGTACATTAAAAAAAATTGAGTAAAATGCCGTTTTCAGCTATTTAAATATGGACCAAAAGTAATTTCCTCTTTTTCTACATCATCTCATTGTTAATTTTTGGTGGGTTTTGGTGTGACAAAAGAAGTTTAAAGACAACAGCTTTGACTTGAGAAACTGGGATGGACATTTTTCACAGTTGTCTGACTCCTACAACAAACGATTAATCTAGAAAATACTGGAATTGTTCATGAAAAACTCAGATGGCACCAGGAAAATCATAGTGTTTGTTTGTGTGTGTGTGTGTGTGTGTGTGTGTGTGTGTGTGTGTGTGTGTGTGTGTGTGTGTGTGTGTGTGTGTGTGTGTGTGTGTGTGTGTGTGTGTGTGTGTGTGTGTGTGTGTGTGTGTGTGTGTGTCAGCACAGTAGCCTAATATTCCAAGTCAAAAACAACACCAGGTGAGCCTAAATTTCATTTGTCCCCCTCTATCTGTATTCCTTTACTATACACAACACGAAAGTGAGCATGTTTTTTGACACACGTGGGCGCGCAAGCACGTGCACGCGCGCACTGTCTTTTCTCTCTCTCTCTGTCTCACTCCACTGCAAACTGCTTTTACATAACTATCTCCTCCGATACTTCACTCAGCCCCTGAGGGAGGATCACTATGACAATCCCGTCCTTTAGTTTAATACACCACTAATAGGTATCTTTAATAGCTTTTATGTTGACCTTTATGGATGTTGTGCTCCTATTATCACCTTTAATTGTCACTTAGGGACTCCTGCTGCTGGTTAGTAAGTTCATGTCGCTCGTATCGTATGCTACTTTATGACATGTTACACCGCCTTCAATATCCCTTTAATAACTTCATGTTAATATACTACCCTTCCTTAGTTCATACTATCATATTTTTCGCAAGGTTTCACTCTGTTATCAGTCTTACATTCCTTAAAAATACCCTTATCTCCATTGTAGCACATGTACTTTTGCTGCCCCGTTTCTTAATCAGTCCACTCCTAAAGGAAATTACTGTGTTAAAGCCCAAAGAGTCGGTAAAGATTGGACTACATAGCAGCAGCCCGACGAACGCACCCTCCAAAAGAACAAACAATGATAATTATACAGTCACTTCCTTACCAGTTAGAAACACCGCTGACAAACACTCTCAAAAAGGGACCGGTGCAGCTCTCGGAACGTTAACATATATTAAAGAGTCCAGCTCCGGCAGAGATAGAGAGGAGAGCCGCGGTGTGTGCCGGTGCGGCGTCTGACAACAGCGACCCGGAGTTCAACTCGGCAAAAAAAACCGTGTGGAAATATTATTATTATTATCTCTGGCGAATTCCTATCTCCTTGTGTTATAGAGCAGTACAGGTTCCTCTCTCTCTATCTCTCTCTCTCTCTCTCTCTCTCTCTCTCTCTCTCTCTCTCTCTCTCTCTCTCACTCTCTCTCTCTCTCTCTCTCTCTCTCTCTCTCTCTCTCTCTCTCTCTCTCTCTCTCTCTCTTCCCCTCGCTGTTTCACGGTCTCTCTCTCTCTCCTGTCTCTTGTCGTTTCACTGCTGCTGCCTTCAGGTGTTATCGGGAAATGTCGCGATTCAGATTAGTCGATTAAAAAAAAGATAGCTCAGCTATTTTAATCTCGTTTAATTTACAAAAATGACCAACATTATATATTGTTCCTCTCATAGAGCGTCTCAATTGATTTTGAGATATCACTTTCGACTCTGTTACTACATGAATGAAATGTATAGTAGGCAAAGTAATCGTTAGTGAAAATAAACATTAAGTTGTTTTTGTAGTTTATCGATGAAGTCTCTATAGAAAAAGTTTTACGATAACTGTGATTATGATGAACAAACTGGAATAACGATAAACATACAGTATAATCATATCAGATTGGCCTAGCCTATGTGTCATTAAATACATATTTGGGTGTGTCAATATTATGATATAATAGTAGGGTTGCCTAAATTGAAACTAGCCTATACTGCATGTTTTCTTAGAGAAATCTGAGTTAATCCACAATGACATTGATTGACAATCATTAGTTTCCCATACTTCCCTCACTTAAAAGAAAGTGCACTACTGTAGGTAGGCTCAAATAGGGTCTTATGACGAAACTCATGTGATAATCTAACATGTCACAGTATGTCTGCTCGTGCGATTCAATCGTGGAAGTGCCGGAGTTTATAGCCGTCCATGAATGCATCACCACAAATGGAAAGAAACCCTGTGTGTGTGCGTGTGTGTGTGTGTGTGTGGACAGGATAAAAAAAGGAGAAGCAGAAAAGTTTGTCCTTGTCACTGAACCTGAGTGCACACACATCTCACATTTTAACAGTGTGTGTATGTGTTTCGTCTCCATTGCGTTCTATCAGCAGGATCAGCTGCTTTGTTGATGTGTGTGTGGGTTTAAAGTGTCCAGAAGAACAATTGCCCCCGGCCCATACCCCTGAGCAGTCCCACCACCATACATGCGCAATGGTATATCCTGTGCGCAAAAAGACGTGTTGGTGCCACACACAGCCTGCGATCGCGCTAGCCTACTTTGACACACACACACACACACACACACACACACACACACACACACACACACACACACACACACACACACACACACACTTCGTTCCAGTCACCTGCACGTAAAGGCAACACGTCTGATAGTGGAGTTAAAGAGAAAACGTCACTCGGATTGCCCCCCCCCCCCCCCCAGTCGCAGCTATTGTGTCGGCTCACATCCTGTAGGTACATCATCATTTGGGGAGGAAAAAAAAAAGTTACATGCATGCCCCCCCCCCCTCCTCACACACGACCCCCCACCACCACCACTACCAACACCATTTACTCAACTCATCCCTCGCCACATGTTTCCACCCCCCGCCCCCCCCCCCCCCCTTTCCAAACACACACACCGCATGCAGATTAGCTGTTTGAGCTTGAATCGGCACAGGGATTGAAAGGAAGAGAAAAATGCGCACATACACGCGCGTACACACACACACACACACACACACACACACACACACACACACACACACACACACACACATATAAATGTTCCAGTGGTTTCAGATCCTCATATCTTTGACATTGAAGAGAGAAGTTCCGGCTGGCTGCTGCTGGCACCTGTGCCTTGCTCAGTGGCAGTTGTGTGCCATGTCTATTATGTAGGACACGTCCTCCTAATATGGATATCCCCCTCCCTACCGTCCACCTCCACCCTGAGTGTCTGCCTCCGTGTGTATGAAACATTCTTTAAAAAAAAAAGAGGAACTGTTTATCCATCTCTTGGATGTTTTCTACTCTGATCTGTCTTCTTTTCGTTTCTCTTTTAATTTTACTCGCACTCGTATTGTCACCACAAATCTGTGTGAATGCGGTGATTGAGTGGGTTTTCCAAAAAATAAAAAAATACAATAGATCCTCAAGGAGAAGATAAGCTTGTGGAAAGTTTGTTTAACCCCAGAGAGGACATGACTCCAGCTTTTCTCACTTTATTATTACATGTTCTTATTCTAAAAACGGACTTAAGGCAGTTTTTTAAAGCTTGATGAAGTATGGTGACTCGCATATACATACTTAAACTGCTATGATGAAACATGGACATCACAAATGTTTACCTTTACACACTTCTGGCTCTGGTGCCTGCTTGATATGATCGCCGACAGGACGTGATAACAGATGTATTTGTCAACCACTACACCCTTGTCTGCATGAAACCTATTTATACATCAAGATCGGACTATCGCCCCCACCTACAGCCCATTCAGAACACACGGGGTGTTCCGGTTGAGTCTGTATGCGAATATAAAGAGAGAAAATAGATGTGCGTACCTGCTTTATCCAAAAGAATAATCCAGGGTGACTTCAAGAAGCAGAGACAATCCTAAAGGTGAAAGCATGCTCTTTGCAGTGTATGCTGAAGTGCATGATTGAGTAGGGCGAGTCCACTTTGTCCCGCGGGGGTGGACAATTATCCTTACCGGCGATTTTCGTTATATCACCGATATATTTAGTGTTGATTATTAACATAGAGAGTTATATGCGTGATTTGAATCAGAGTAAATACTTCTATATTAATGTAAGCTAATTCCCGTCGTGAGTTATTTTCTTCATTTCCGGACACCCCTTTTCCTCGGCTGAATGGATTCTCCCGCATTAAATGGAACTATCTGCTATTATCAGCGAAAAGTTGTTGATACTGCTGGGGAGTCACACAAAGTGCGAAAAGACATCGAGAATGTCCACTGTGACGACTTATTCAGAGTTATGGTTACATTTTAAACGATGTCAAGGAAAAAAGCAAGCGATTCAATGATGAAAGTCAATGTTAATGTACTCTTTGTCAACACAGTGTTATTATATAGATCTGAGGATTAGTCTCCTTTCTCCACCCTGTTGCAACACAAAAGCTAATTTAAATAGAGAAACATTAGTGTATATGAAACGTTATAAAATCTGGTGTGTGTTTAGGGATACAATGTTATATAAATAAGGTCGACAACCCCCCCTGTAATAAACCACTCAGAATATAGATAGGAATATTTTTATATAATTTCTAAAGTGAGTTAGTAAAGTTATTGGCTCACAGTATGGGAAACATCTCATGTGGTTGTTTACAATAAGACCTTTTTTTTAATAACAACTTCTCTGAAATATAATGTTTAAATATGCAAATGAGACATTTTCTAATGCCAACTTCAGGTGAATTTAGGAGAAATCTACAGACACACATAGACACAGTATGTATTTTTTAGGTTGAAACAAGATATATTATTGGAGCCTTCACTCTCTTCACTAGTTGATGGACAAACCCACTCTCTTTTCCCCCAACATGGATTAATTGTTATTCTCCCAGCGTATTGTCTCATTTTGTCCTGTCACAGGTACTGATGAGTGTTTTATATGGGAAATACCTGAAATAAATTAAATGGTAGTCAAACATGTATGCTACATTGTTACCACCTCTTCTTGTCAGATGTCCCTTGCTTTTCTAATACAGCTGGAATGCATGACTATTGCATGCCTAACTACTTTATTTTCAGCCAAGCAGGTTCTAAATCCTGTTCCACACACACACTTTTAACAATGACAAACAAAATAACAGCAACAACTCAACTCAAAATGCAATGACATGATAACAATTTCTACAAGTGTTAGGACACATTGGGTTGCTGCTAATTGCTCTAATTTAATTTAATTTCAAACCTTTATTTAACCAGATGGTCCCATTGAGATCATAGATCTCTTTTTCAAGGGAGACCTGCAAACTCCCTAAACTGGATTCACTCCCAAAATAAGCTATACAAAAATAATTGAGCTGGTATTTTTTTATTAATTAGGACCCACAAGCTGAATGCCAGCCATAAAAGGGTTAAAGTAACTCCCTTGCAGGACTGGAAAATCTAGAAAGGCATGGAAAGATAAATGTGAAAGCCCAAAGGTGTACAAATGTTTGGTCTGTGGTTACTCTGCCAATACATCTGGTCATGTGTTACATAGTTATGGATTAATGTCTTTTGTGAAGAGTGTTTCGTCACTGGGAGTAGTAGGTGAAGAAGTGTTCAGATCATTTACATCAGTAAAAGTACAAATGTACTGTGATCATACTTCCTCAGGGCCGGCCCTAGACTTTCGGGGGCCCTAAGCGAGCTTTGGCTTGGGGGCCCCCCTCACTCTAGCGTGTTCTCACTACACACAACACGGAACCAACTTTTGTCTTATGATGTTAGCATAAGCACACATATTGTATAAATAAGCATGTAAACACCGTGGACCTAACCTCCTCTAGGGGGGTCCGGGGGCATGCTCCCCCGGGAAGATTTTATTTTAAATATTGAAGTTAAAGGTGGGGTAGGTAAGTTTGAGAAACCGGCTCGAGATACACTTTTTGTTATATTCCATGGAATGCTCTTAACATCCCGATAGCAATGAATATCTTAAGTGCTTTGACAAAAAATCCATAACAAAAATTCATCATTGGAAGCCGTAGTACTGTAAAAAGCACGACCAATAATTTTAGCCGGCCCGGCTAAAATAACTGGATGGCCTACCTGCCTGTCAGCCTTCCATCTGTGCACAAACTTATCTCGTGCACAAACAGCCACATTTACTGCTGCAAATATGTTCAAACATGCTGTTGACACGTAAAGCAGTGGCAACTATGCCACCATTTCAGCTGACTTTTTCTCAGAAATACTGTCACATAACATCCATATATTTCAGTGCTAGGTTGATACTTAGCTAAGCTAACTATGAAACACTTTAACTGACAGGACTCCGGATCAACTGTGTACTGTAAGGTAGCTTCTAGCTTCATGTCGAACAGTAAGTCAACATTTCCCAGAGAGCTTTCTTTGAAATCACCAGGTAACGCTAAAAAACAT